TGGATTAAAATCCATCCAAAAGCTAGAAAATCATCAAATCTCCCCTCCACCCATCCATGTGCCCCATTGTTCGTCCAACTCAAAATTCCTCTCCAATTTTCACTCGAACATGAAATTTCTTGAGGGCTTCTGTTCGTTAGACAAAAACAAGCTTAAATGCTTGATTCAATTAGTCTATCAACTCCCTATTATCACAGTATGGGCTATTATAGTGAGTTGGTACTAGTTGGCGGAATTTTTCTGCCCAATTTCAAAACAACCCTACCAACTTTGATTTTACACAATCACACCCTTGAAAAGTTTAATTTGACCCTCAAACTTTAATTTTAAACAATTAAGCCCCTAATCTTATTAATTTACCAAAACTTTAAATTTAAGTAAAAATTTGGGTCGTAACATTCTCCCCCCTTAAAAAAAAAAATTCGTTCCCGAATTTTAAAACATAGGAGTAGGTAGAATCGAAATCAAACAATGCATAACCCTCCAAGAAACATATTGTAATTGTACTTGTGATCACCACATTCGACACCTAAGCGTCCTGATGAGTTAGCACATACATCTGCATCTAGCCTTTACCTCGGCCTTTGCCACTAGCCCCTCGACCCCCAGTGCTAGAAGACTCCGCACTAGTCTGTCCTTGAGTCTATAATACAATGCCTACGGCCATAAAACAACCTCTATTGGAATGGGACAATCCCTAACCAAATGTCCCTACCGGCTGCATTGATAACATACCCCTGTCGTCCAAGTAGCCTCCTAAGAAGGACAGTCTCTAGTTATATGGCCCTGCTGGCCACACCGAAAACAAGTTCTTGTAGCCTGGGCAGCCTCCTAAGTATGCGGACAATTTCTACATACGTGACCCTGTTGGCCACATCCATAACAAGTCATAGAATGTTTGTCAGATGAATTTCCATGTCTAGATTGTCGATGATCGCAAAATGACACCCAACATCACAAGTATATCAATTAGCAAGTCCATCAATACACAAAAATGAGGATTAGAAAGATATCGAAGGAATCAAGCACAGTAGAATTAAAATGTCAACACCAATCTCACCCTAAAAGGTCATCAGTAGTTCTTCTATTATGAAAGTGGAGCCCTCACCCTCATAATAAAAGTACTACTAAAGAACCCCACTCCTTTTTACTCTCAAAAAACCTACAGCTCTAAAACCACTCTATCACGACCCAACCCTAGGCCCGTGATCAGCACTAGGGTCCTTGACCCTAGTCAGTCTCACCATAACCAACCCTACCCAAAATGCTCAACTCATTAAATAAATGTAAATCAACACACAACATCTAGTACACAACCACTATGACCTATCTGAGAGTATGAAAGAGCTACTCTAGAATACAATGTAAATGAGTCAAATTAAAGATGTCCATACACCAATCAGTCCGCTGATCCAAATTCAGACTCTGGCACACCCAACGAGGTGAGAACCACAAGTCAAATCTGGAAAGTTTATAAAATATGAGTCGCAAAAATCAATGAGTACAGATGATACCTAAACTATACATGTCGAGATATGTCTCACATCACAGGTCCAAAATCATACATATACACATATATATACAGTGAGCATTTTAAGTATTAAAAACATACATATGTTAGTGTACAATGATCACATCATAAGACTCTAACCTCAATCGGAGGAATCTTCTGTCTCATGATCGAGCTCAACACAGTCACATATCATGCTCCTGGTCAATAGGCATCCTCCATCTCACAACTGGAGTATCACAAACACATCATATGGCCATCTCCCAATCAGAGGAATTCTCTGTCTCACGATCGAGGTCAACACAATCACATATTACGTTCTCGATCGAAAGGCATCCTCTATCTCATGATCGGAGCATCACGCCCACTAGAGCAACACTATCACACTCCCAGTCAATATGCATTCTCCATCTCACGATCAGAGCAACACAATCTCAGTTCATATCACGACTCCCCACATATCAATCTAAAAATAGGTATACATACATATATAGTTCATGATCTCAAAACTAGTAACGTATACCAACATAGCTCACTAACAGACAACAAATCACATAACATACATTCCAAGTGTAACATATAACCAAAATATAGTTTACAAAATCACATAATCATTATGTTAGAAAACATAGTATGAAAAATACATACATAGAAAGGGTATCATCACTCACAAGACAGAAGTCAAGCTAAGAAAGAAGTCCTAATCAACCCACTCAACTCACTAGTGTAAGTGTACCTCCTCAGGCGTATCTGGATCAAAATAAAGCTGGGCAGTAACAATCTGGATCGGACGAACCACAAGGAAATCTTTAATCGAATTAAAATCTGTCCAAAAGCTAGAAATCATCAAATCTGCCTTTCGCCTGTCCGTGTGCTCCATCATCCGTCCAACTCAAAATTCCTCTCCAATTTTCACTTGAACACGAAATTGCCTAAGGGCTTTTGTTCGTTAGACAAAAATGAGATTAAATGCTCGATTCAATCAGCCTACTAACTCCTTATCATCACAGTATGGGCTATTACAATGAGTCGGTACTGGCTGGCAGAATTTTTTTGCCTAGTTTCAAAACAACCCCACCAACTTTGATTCTATACAATCACGGCCCTAGAAGGTTTAATTTGATCCTAAAACTTTAATTTCAAAATTGAGCCCCTAATCCCATTAATTTACCAAAACTTTAAAATTGAGTAAAAATTTGGGTTATAATGTACTCTAGCCCAGCCCCTGACATTCCCAATCACATCACATGAGTCCCACATATTTAGAAAACATTTCACATATACACATATACAATTTATATCGCAAAATACCAATAACTATCGTGTAATCAAAAGCTCATTGACAATTCACAAACCACACAATACATATCCCATAAGTATTATAAAACAAAATATGGTTTACCAAAATCATATAATAATTCATGCTAGAGAGCACAGTAATAAAACACATGCATAAAAAGGGTATTATCACTCATAGTACAGAATCTAAGCCAAAAAGGAAACTCGAGTCGCTCCACCCAACTGACCGATCTGGATGTGCTTTCACCGGCGTACCTGTGATCACAAATAACAGAAAAATCACGACCAACATCAAAATTGGCAGAAGAACAAGGCTCCATTACCCCAAACTAGCTCAAATCCCACTCTGAAACCCTGGCACGCATCCTGAGGCTCACTACCCAATATTCAAGACCCACGTGACTCAAGAATACTCCTTAAATTCACTTAAATACCTTTGAACCTTAGTGAACCGGCTTCCAAAACTCTTAAACTGGCCTAAAACTACTTTAAACCGAACTAAACTAGCCATGAATACTTCAAAATCATATTGAACCGACCTCAAAACCCTAGGAACCGGATTGAATTGCCCTTAATTACCCTTGAACTGACCTGAACTGGGGTCCAAAACCATAAAACCATATACTTACACACTAAATTGGCCTTAAAACAATACTAAACCAGTCAGTTCCTAATGAACCAACATTCCCAAAAGTGTGAATCGATTAAATCTACCTGGAACCAGTCAAACATCCCACTAAGCCGACCTAAAACCCATTAAACTGGCCATTGGACTGGTTCTGCAGCAATCAAAAACCCTAGATGGCCTATCCCCTAATCCGTGGTTATTTTATTCCTATGTAATCCTATCCTTGTTCTACCTTATCCCTGGGATAACACGTCTCGATTCTTTGATGGGTCAACCGACCAAGTTGACCCATTATTTGACCACTGGGTCAAGTCAACTCACCGAGTTGACTAAGCCTAGTCCAGCCCACCTGGCCCAAGCCCACTGGCCCAACCAGCTAGGCCCAGCCTGTACAGACGCGGATCCCCATTTGAGTTCATCCCTTTCACTTGGAAACCCAGTTCCCTAACTTGATTCTCTATATCCAAATCTGCAATAGACCCAAAATCCTAAAAACTTGAAAAAACTAGATTAAACCACATACCTGAACCCATTGAAAGCTAAGGGTTGTAAATCTAGGCTAGGTGAACCACCCACAACACTTAAATTGGATTAAATTGATCCAAAATCAGCTCAAAATTCTAGAAAATCCAACTCGGTCGTGGACAACGCAACTGACCCAAACCAACTTCATCCTCTCTCAAATTTCACTCGATTTTTGAAATTAATAAAGGGGTTTAGTTCGTCTTTAAGTCTCGCACAACAATACTTAAGAATTGAATAAAAATCATATTTAATAATCACAATATGGGCATGGACAGCCCCAATGTATTGTCGATTTATAGATTTTATGTCTTGTCACAATCTAATTCCTAAAATTTTATTTCTTTTCAATTATGCCCTTCTAGATATCTGATTGAATCCTTACCCCTTTTATTTTCTTCGATTTGGCCCTCACACTCTCAATTTGGCCACTAACCCTTCTAATTTTTCACATTGGCTCTTAGAACTCTCCATTATTTCTATAACCCCCTCCTAAATTGTAATTTAACCCTAGAAAGTCCTAATTCGTGCAATTAAGCCCCCAATCCAATTAATTACTAAATTTTCCTAATAGATTTAAAATAGGATCATTACAAACATAATCCAAGACAACCTTTCAACTAAGTTCAGGAATCCAGAATATAGAAATAATGAAGAATAAAGGACATCAAAAATATAGGGCAAGTAGAAGACTCTCTTTGCGCTATCCATTGAAAGAAAGTATTCCCGATAACTTAGAACACTATTGTGAGCAATACTCTGATACAATACGGAAAAAGAAAGAGCTCGATAAAGTATAAATATTAAAACCTTATATACTAGTATACATATCAATGCTCAGCAGTCAATCTTCAACTTCTTTCCATTACAAAATTGGGAGTGGACCTCAAACCGAATCTCGTGTAACTGTAAGAAACAGATGGGATCCAACAGCATATACTTGAAGTAATCTACTATTTACTTGTGGACTTTCTCGGAAGTATCATTTTTTTTTTTTTTTTGAAGTTTGTGGCGCAAATTTATTCTCTCCAATTCAATCAATCAATCAGAGTGAAGCTTTCTCTTCTGGCACCTTTTGATGTACCATTTTGCATATTTCTTAAGGCCAATGCCGACCATTACTTTGAGACTCGCAAGCATGACAAATGTCATCATAGAAAGAAGCAAAATCCAAAATAGTCTCCATGGAAGTGGACCATAGGAAGATGAACAGCATATACTGGAGTCAAAACTCGAATTACCTGAAATCCAAATAAAGACTGTCTTCAAAATATACAAAACACTACAATCACATTGAGAGCTTGTCTGCACTCAACAAGAATATACAAGGAAACCTACTTTGAACAATTCCTTATTTGGACAAAGACCTCCATGTCATTGTTTATATGAATAAATACAGTACAATCACGTCATATTTTTTAAGTTCCATACTTTGTATATGAATTGATCCTGTAGTCAAAATCTTAGTAGGAAACCCTCCCATCTATTCAATTCCAACAAATGTCCACCTGAGCACCCTACGCATAAAAGAGCACAGCCTATGGTTGAATTTTTAGTAAATGCTTACCACACAAGCTGGTGCCAAAGGAACAAAAGTAAGATTTTTCCTCCCATTCTCCGTTTCAATGTTCAAAGTCTGTCAAAAACAAATGAAGTAGAAAAATGAAGGCTTCTATGATACAGAACTTGATGCATAAACAAAGATATAAGAACTTGGCGGTTCTTATGGTTATAAGATTAACATTGTATTAAGCCAAAAATAAGTGGAAAACTGAAGCTATCTCCACACGTGCTTGTTATATACACAATTAAGAAACAAGATGCATCAAACAATATCCAAACGCATGTACTTAGAAAGCCGGAAAATAGGGATAAATTAAACATTATATGAACACAAGGAGACAAATTCTTAAGAAACGAGAGATAAGATGACATGAAAATTGCAAGAAATATACTCATGATTAGTAATATTTTATATGAGCATTTTACATTAGCATAGTTATTTCTTCACTTCAATCAACTTACATACGAAAAAGCTTTCCAAAAAAAAAAAAAAAGAGATCTTTGAAATCAAAAATTTATTCACTTTAATCACATTTATAAGCAATCTTTTTCTTATTCAATGGTAACCAATCCCAATCAACTATATTGCAAATCAGTATATGGAGACATTTGTATATTATTTCTAATTCACTTCCTTTCTCTTTACACTTCAGATGAAATAGAACTTGTAAAGATGGGAGCACAATTAGAAATTTTCAACAAACTGAACCAAACCGTTTAAATCGTATAAACCGAACCAAACTGTGTAAATCAAACTAAACCATATAGTTTGGTTTGATTTGATATTTAATATCTAGACAAACTGTATAAACCGAACTAAACCGTATAATTTATATATATACAAAATTAAAAATCCTATCTCTATATATATAGTATATTTTTATTATTTGACTGTATATTTATTCTTTTTATTATCTTTTATATTTATATTCATTCTAATAATTGATTATTTTTCTTTTTTAGAGTGTACTTTCGATTAATAATAGTGAAATTCTATAAAACGGTATAAATATATTTATTATATAATGTATAACTACTATAATTAATTAATAATTAATGAATTTATTAAGTTAAACATGTTGGGAAAAAATAGATGACCAATTTTAAGGAAAATTCTATCAAATTTTTATATAAGTAGTGAATTTAATCCATTTTATTTTGTAAATCACAAACCGTAGTTTGAAACCGAACCAAATTGTAAACCATGATTTAGTTTGGTTTATAAAAATTACAAATTGTAAAATATGGTTTGGTTTAAATTTGAACATCAAATTGAACCAAACTGAACCACAAACACCCCTAAGCACAACCCCATAGAGGGCAGCTAGCTGTTGCTACTATATGTTTTTGTTTAAAAGATAATTGAGAAACCTAGCAACCACAACGAGACAAGGAAAAGGTTAGCTGTAATTGAGTAATACCATAAACAGGGAAACTTGAGATGAAAGTCACACCTGATTGCAAAGGTCTTCAAGAAACTCCGAGAACGCAATGGGCTTTATGTCGTTAAATTTAGCGATAAATGAATGTTTGATTATGTCAATCATCATTTCACATACAAAAACTAGGAAAGCATTCTGCAAAGACCAGATATAAAGCATCAACAAATTGGAGAAATTGAACAAAACTGGGGTGGGGGAGAAGTAAAGTTTCTATATTTGTTTACATTTTATCACTTTCAAAGAGGCATTCAGGTTTTTCAAGTGAACTTACAGAAAGGAAACTATGAAACCAAGGACCTTCTGCTTCCCGCATATTTTGAGCCAAGACAAATATTAGAAAAGCTGAAATATGGAACCTTTCCACTGAATCTGCTCATACCATTACAATGCGAATGTGAGAAAAGAAACTTTATATAGAAAAGAGCATACATAATGAAACAATTTTGCCAGTTCCACTTTAGCACCAGCTAAACAGACTAGCTTCAAAATAACAGCAATTCAAAGCATACTTCTCAGTAATACCACATCATCTGATTTCTGGTTTATGCCTCTTTAGGATAAAAAGAAATTATAAGAAAATGAAGAACCAAAGGAAAGAATAACTACAAGAAATAAGTGAAAAGAAGATAAACAGTTAAAACTTTAATTCCAAATCAATGACAAGTCCCAAACCTAACCATGTATCGGGGGGTCATTAATAAGGGGGCCAGAAACATGCCACAAATCATGCTGCAACTATTCACCATAAACGTGTCTCTAATTTCATTAATCAAAAAGATGTGGGCCTGGGAAGCCATTGAGTCTACAAGCTTCAATAAAAGAATAATAGTTCAGAACATAAATTCACCAAAGTTGTTAATTTGAACCAAGGAGAAAACAAACTAAGTTTCTGGATGCTTGAAAGCCAACTGTCTGCAAGCTAAAAGGGAGAGTTAAAATTGTTTCGGAACCCCTTAAGTGTCTCTGAATCACAATCCTAAACAAAAGTTTTGACAATTTTTTAGGAGATATGAACAGGTGGTACTGATATATTGGAGCCAGTTGCACACTAAAAACCTTGAAAAGCAAGAGTCAACCAAAAAAAGAGAAGGTTAAAAATATTTTAGAACCCAATAAACCTGCCTCCATGGTACAATTACAAATAATAATGCTAACAATAATATCTTGGGAAGACAATAAACAACAATGCAAATAGTATTATTGGGCAGAATTTCCCAATAGAAACAGTTAAAAATGGCTGTAAGCCAATAGGCTTACTCTTCCCCCATTCTAGACGAGAAAACAGCTATTATACCTATCAAAAGCCACTAACAATGGCATTTGTTCACCACAGAGGATGACATTCAAGGATAGGAATGACACATTGCCAGATCAAACTCAAGTCAGTACTGATTTAAAACTGAAAAGAAAACCTAAAACCAAAAAAAAAAAAGAAAAAAACAAAACAAAAGAAAGAAAAAAAAAAAAGAAAAGTCTCTTCCCCAACAGTGCCAGAAAGAAAAAATAAATTCCACATGGTTCACAAAGAATAGTAGCACCTTCAACATTTCACATAGTATATGAAAAAAGAGGGGAAAGAAACTAACCATAATATACCATGGTGTGAATATTATCCTTGCTAAAACGTTTAAAAACGTTGCTCTTTATCTCAGCAAAATTGTTTGATACCAGCAAAGCCAGCAAGGCATTATTATGAGCAACAATACAAGTGGACAACGTGATGGCTTGAGCTAATAAGATGAATGAATGAACAAGTAAGGATAGTTAAGGTATAACAATATAGAACAAGAAATACCTATTTCAAACAAAAAAAAAGAACACAACTGCTCAAGCAAGGATATTTGACGAAACCACAGTTAATGCTTCATCAGATATGAATCTCCAGAACCAGTATCTCATGTTTTCTGGTGGACAGTTTCCAAGCCCTTCTGCAGTATTAAATAGTGTTTGCAGTACATCCCCAACAAAGCTTTGGCACAGTTTATCAAAGATCTGTCACCAAGGAAATTGATAAGTCCAACCAACTTCTGGCACACATTTTGAATATTAAAGGCCACTAAATATTCTAACAGCTGGTGTTAGAGAAGCATCTACGACTTTTCCACATGTAAAATTATGTCCATAAAGTCCTGTGTAGGCTATGAAGAAATAACATCCCACCAATATCATCATCTAAAAATAATGAATCAACATTTGAAGATAAGAGTACAGCAACTGGATCAGAAGAAATTGAATGTGTATGGCGAGAACATTCTAATATGGGCCTCAAAACTTTCTAATACCTTACACATCAATGTTATAAAATTTTTTTCCTCTAATTTCCAGAAAAAAGAAATTCATTTTTCTCTAATTTCCAGATAGTGTTCTCTTGTTAAGTAGTGACCTTCAATTTTTTAATCTGCTCCTTAGTATTCATATGAACTATGAGAGATATCTGGAGTATGGACTGTCCTATTTGAGAGACAGATGAAGTAGGTTTAACAATGAAAACTAAGCTTAAAACACCAATATTTACCTGGAGTTGGATAATTCAGAGGAAAATGAATCATAAATGTAGTTCCAATATATATATATATATATATGTAAATGTGACATATAAGCTGAAATAGACCCATGTCATTGTTACTTCAAGGCATGTTGTATTTCCATTGAAGGTATTTTTTATGCTCTTAAGATTAGAGCAAGGACAACCATCTAAAGCATACAGCTTTTATGAACTAAAATAGATTGAATAGCAGGATCCTTCAGAACAAGTACAATTTTAAGCCTGCATCAGATTGTGGGCATCACAAACATAGCATTCTCTATTTGGAGCTTCCAACCAAACAGACAGAATTACTCTAGTGTTTTAACATTATTTTCATTTTCAAATGAAAGCAATTACTGAAAGCCTGAAAAAAAGCTCTTTAATGTTTTCCAAAAGTGTGCCTGTTTTCTGAAGATTCTCCTAAAAACAGTTTTTCAGAGACAATCAAATTTTCTGTTTCCAGAGACAGAAAACTCTTCTAAAAAACAAATCCAAACAGGCCCAATTTTTTCACGAAAATATCCGATCCCATTGATTTGAATCCAACCCCTTCCTACTCACAACCTATGATTTCACATGTAAAATATTAACTCATTAATGTGAATCCAACCCCTTTCCTTGAACTTTCAATGTAATTACATGTTATATCATCGTTTTATAGCAGAAGATGTTCCTCTATTAGAAATATACTTATAAGATAATGAGATTTTAGCCCACCCCTCTTAGAAAAGTGGTTATGTAGTGGCTATTCTGTCATAATACTAAAATCCATTTTTTTTGGATATCAATTTAAGCTTATTATCCTTCAAGTATTGTTAAGAAAAGTATGGAGTTGTATACTAATCGAGATAAGAATCTGGGACATGCAACCTTCTCCATGTTATATCAGCTTGGTGATATCATCAGATCCAGGACTCTCAATATTACTTCTACAAGTTCTCTTGCTCTTCAATTTTCCAATAATTATACTTCATACTCTGATTCTTAATTTACATATTTCATAGGATACTTTATTCAGTTGCATCAAGGACATTCTATAATTTTTAAAATTTAGATCCAAGATGGAAACGTTGGTTCCTGCATGCTAGAATCCCACACAATCCACTCACCTCCAACACATTGTACACCACGTAAAGTTTGATTGTCCCTTGACCACGGATCATGTGATATATAAGGCTGATATCTGAGTCAAGAAAACATTAAGAACAAGAAAAATATTAGCATGCATGCACAAGCAAATTAACAAATGTGAAACATGCAATATTTTTTGCACATAAAATAGAAATAATCCCTCACTGAACCTATTTGTTGCAGAAGAGCAACTCCGCATGCCACAACAATGAAACAGCCAAAATCAGACAGCTCTACTGCAGAAGGCCTCTCAAACTGCCTGCCACAAGCATGGTTAGGTTATATTTGTAAATGCAGGAAGCTAATAAAGTCAATTCCAGAGAGAAGAAATAACTAACAAGATCACCAGGAACAGCAAAGAGAAAACAATAAATAAACAAATAAAATGAAAGAAAGGGAAAAGATTTCTTGGTGGGGATCATCAGCAAGTGCAGAAGCAGGAAATTTCAGTGAAAGAAAAAAATCCTCCCATAATAAACTGCTTTGGCCCAACTATTCAAAAGTATTAGGACAAGTAACTGAACTCGCATCACTAGATTCACTACGAAGAAACTTCTCTGTCATTGCTCTCCCCCTCACTTGCAGACACAAAGGTTCACATGTTGCAGTTCATTTTCTTTGCAATTTGAATTTAGTGAAAACTTACATTCATCTCAACTTAAGCTGATTCTATTTTCAATTGAATTTAGTTTTGATTTCATTTGAGTTGAATTAAAATTTAACATTTTATTTTGTTTGAGATACATTTCGTTTGCCAAATACAGATATGAGACCAACCAGAGCTCTGTAAGTGACCCCATTGAAGCCAATCCCCGATGGTCTTATAAGGCAACTTTGGTGATTATGAGGTTTTGGAAATTTGATTTTTAAGACCTTGTGAAAATTTTCTAAAAGACTGAATCAATCAGTAAATAGATACGCTCCTATTAATCATGGACTTCTGAGAAAAGGTTAGGTATATCAACAATTGTTCTAACCTGACAACAAGATTGATTTCTTTTTCTCCCTCTGCAAAATTGATGGGCTTGATAGGAAGATTAAAAGTGTAGAAACAAGATGTATCATCATCCCAGCATATTATTGGGGCATGCAAGAATTTGAAAATTGATTTGTCAAGGAAAGATAGAAGAAAAACAGATTATCCCACTTGCCCAGTCAAAATCTCGATATACAAATTCCTCCTCCACCATAAAAACCGAAAATTACATTGCAAAGTTTACAATATTTAGTACAATTCTGATAACTTTTCTGTATATTACCATATAAATATAATTTGTCCTCAGATTCTCCTCTTCAAGCACTTTCACTCAAGGCTTGACAGTAATTTCACTTGCTTACAGAGATAATATATGAAAAGGCAGTTAATGATGTTCTCATTTGTGATAGTAACTGCTTTAAAGAGGAAATAATTTCTGATGGAGGCAAAGAACTTACCTTTTTTTCACAAGCCTCCAAAAAGTCAAGACAATCCTTGTCGGCATGATTGTTAACAATGACAAAAAGGTATCCAAGCAAACAAAGAAGCCAACATCTATAAGCTGCAAAAAATTTTCTGTCAATGAAGGTCTTTCATAAAGATTTTGTGGCAAATTAACGAAAAATGATTACTGTCACCTTAATATCTAACTAAATTATGCCTTCCAAATTTAAAGGCACTTCAGAATTTAAAGCAGGAAAAAAAAAAACAAAGCAAAGCAAAAAATGCCATTCCCACAGCACCTTTTGAGCAAAAAAGCGCAGGTTTAGCACTTGCATTTCACCCTGAACTCAATTGTGCCAATTTAGTGCCTATAGCCAACATATTGCATAATGAAATAACATTTCCCCAAAACCCAAAATATATATATGTGTGTGTGTGTGTGTGTGTGTGTGTGTGTGTGTGTGTGTGTGTTTGTTCTATTAAGTTACAATAGGACCAATCTTACCAGTTCACATCGCCATGGTAAGCGGAACATCGTGTCATATACTCTTTCGCGTTCTTTATCATTGCCACAGGTAGTTGTGCTCCGCAAAGAATGTCCACTATACATTTCATCCAGAAAATATCTCATCGGAGACTTCTCCACAGAGAATAAATCTGACAGAAAATTTTTGCACCATGCTTAAATTAAAAAGATATAAAAGATAAACACAAAAGGAATAAACGGACAAACGAAAAGTAAGATAAATGCATTCATATCTTGAAGACAACTGTCTCTGCCACATAAGAACAATCATGTTTCAAATTCACATAACAATGATTTACCAGTAGATTTCAATGGCACATGCCAAATATTTTCCTAAGAGATTAGCAAAAATTTGACGCATTTCTTCAAATATGTGAAATTTTCAGAATTTCGAATACTGAATATAAAAAAAATGGTTCATTTAAACTTTCATGTGTTTATAAATTAGTTTGGATGATAGGCATACTTGGACCTACCTGCCTAGCATCCACTTCTCATAAACATTTAGCATGAACCCTCATATTGTATGGTTTTTTCTGTGAAGGATATGATACCTACGTTGTGGAATAGTGAGGTACCAGAAATGGAAGGAGGAGAAACTCAGATATCAGAATGTTCATGACTTAAAACCTTCTGGTCAATGCTAGGTTAAAACTTGTTTTATACCCCATCTATATAATATGATATACTCATACTTTTAATTGCTATTGCCAATGGACCCAACATACTCTGGCACTGGGATCTGCCTTCTACACTACATACAGAGAATTATAAATAGTACTTACCATCCTCCACCAAGTAGCAACTCAAGTGAAAAGTAGCCAACCAACTTGTTAAGCCTACCCATTGGTCCAAAACTTTTAAGCCCAAGTTGCTTAGTAGTGATCTCTCAATAGTTGATATACCACAATGTCTCAAACTCAATATCCAACATGAGATGAGATTATCACAATCTATCCATTCAAACCCTCGACTCACTTATCAAGGCCAAACCAAAATGGAACCTAGGATATTTCCTACACAATTTGGAAAGGGACAACACTTTGACAACATTTTCTAACAATCTAAGTGAGCATTGGTCCAAACAACATGTTGAAAAATCCCAGTTATTTAGTAGTGATACCTTTACAGTTTATATAACACACAATTTCATGTTTGATATCCGATACACTACAGAATATCCGAGAAGCACCCTATCATGGACTTAATAAAATTAATCTCCATGCTATGATATAAAAAATTTAGCTAATCAACTACGTAAACTTTACGGCAATTTTAGTGTCTGATTGACTATAAAAGATTTATGTATGTCTACCAAAAATTTATTTCCCTTTCAATAAATGAAGATGACTTATAAAATTTCGCCCATATCTCAATCCTATTAAAAACTCAATGCTCAAGTGCCCAAGTAATAAACATCAGTACATATATAAGTACCTAGCCAGTGATAGTCCCATAAGTCCTAAATGCCAAAAGAAAAAAAATAAGGTTATTAAGCCAATATGATTTTTCACAAAGCCACAAAGTGATGAGCGAGCACCCTAAGAAGAAGAGAGATAAAAACGCGACTGAATATCAAAATGAAGTCGCACTTATCCTGAGCCTCCCACCTTCATGTATGAAAGCACAAACTTTGAATTCAATGAGGCACAGAAAGCTAATCTCTTTAGAGGACCATCATTATTGAAAACAACATCAGAAACAACACGTTCAGAAAATAAAATGCGATGAGATTATTCACTCACTATTTGGATCTTGTGCCATCACTCGCTTCCAATCCAACGACTCTACAGTTTCCAGTTTCCCAATGACGTTGCCATTTGGTTCCGGAGGTTGTTTCCTTGATGCAGAATCCACATCTGTACTGCCACTCTCCTTCTTCGCATTCTCATCAATTCGCGACACTGCCTCCTCACTCCATCCACCTACACTCCTCTGTCTCAACTCCCCAACCGCATAGCCGTCGCAATTACAATACTCCGTTTCCCTCAGAGCGACCTCCTCACACAGAGTGCTCTGGACACTAAAATTATTGCAATTCGATTCCGACGAGCCGTTCTCAGGTATCGAATCTTCCGGCATCGAACATTCGATCATCTTCTTCTTCTTTGAGCTCTTGGATTTGCGTTTCCGCCGTTTCGGCTCAGCCGTTGAGAGTCTCGATGCATCGTCGTTTTGGGAAGTTAGAGGATCGGATGAGGATCGATAGAGAATGGATTCGAGGTTATCGTCCAAGGAGATCGAGGAGGTGGCGCTAAGAATGCCGAAGGAAAGCTTGCGGCCACGGGATCTCACCGCCATGGTTTATAGAGACAAAAGATATGGATTGAATTAGAGTCGAAAGGCTTTCGATTTCATGATTCAGACGAAGATTTTTGCTGAAAATATTGAGTAGTGGGGAGATTCGTAGTTTGGGAAAAGTTGTTTGATCTCGACTTGCTGTCGCCGATGGAAGTCGCGCAGAGTTGAGTATGTTTCTGATTTCCGACGGAACGTGTATTGAGGGTAACCTTTCTGTGGAAATCTTTTTATTTTTTATATATATTAGAACTAAGAGATTGGGGGATTCAAAATCGAAACAAAAGTCTGTACCGATTTAATTCAAAATGAATCGATAAAAAATTAATTAAAATTAAAAAAACTGTTTAATTGAATTTTTAAAATATTGAACTTAATATATTTAATTACCAATTTTTAAAAAAAATTGAACTGATTATATATATATATATTTAATTTTTATTATATTTAATATAATAAGATATATAGTAAATAATATATATTTATTTAATATATGTATATAATAATTTATTTAATAATATTATGTAATTTAAAATAAAATAAAAATAAAATTCTACTTAAATTCTCATTATTGTTTTAAAAAATTTTAATTATATTTGGAATATTTGATATTAAAAAATATTAATATTGTAAGAAATAAGAATCATTTTAGGGATAATTACTAAAAAGGAAATTTTAAAAAAAATAATTCCTAAAAAGGCCAAATGTAAAAATAATTCCAGTTAAGGTAATTTGTATACCCAAAATATTCTTCAATTTCAAGTGTGTTCTAGGCATAACAGTCAGTAATTACATACTAACGGATACCAAATTATAATAAAACAGATGCATAATTATAACAAAACAGATTAATGCAAAAATCTGTTGCGCCTATAGATACTAACTTGTATTTCTTTAATTTTGGGTGTGTTATGGATATCATTAGAAAAAAGTCAAAACATGAAATTTATAATTCTTTCTTTTAATTTTCCAAATAATTTTGAATTGTCCAAATTCGAGTTTTCTATCTTAAGATATAAACATTTTACCAAAACTCGGATTGCTAAGAGCAATAGCAACAGTTGACAGCTTACTGCAGTTTTGGACAAAATGTCATAACTTGAGTGACAAAATTTGGATTGAGCTGATTCTTGAGGCATTGAAAAGTTAAAAGAGAGATATACAACTTTTATGTTTAAATTTCAATCTAATACTATGCAGAAGGCATCCGAAAATGAATAAAAGTAATCAAAATTTTGCAATTACACTTTTACTGCAGTTTTGGAAAAAATGTCATAACTTAAGCTATAAATTTCCGATTGAACTGATTCTTGAGGCATTGCAAAGCTAAGAGAGAGAGCTACAACTTTTATGTTTAAATCTCTATCCAATTCTGTGTAGAAGGTATCCCAAAATAAAGAAAAGTAATCTAAAATTTTACAGTTACAATGTTGCAGCTGTGAAACAGTTAACAGCTTATAGCTGTTTTGGAAAAAATTCATAACTTGAGCTAAAAAATTTGGATTGAGCTGATTCTTGAGGCATTGGAAAGATAAGAGAGAGAGCTACAACTTTCATGTTTAAATCTCAATCCAATTCTGTGCAGAAGGCATCCGAAAATGAAGAAAAATAATCCAAAATTTTGCAGTTACACTTTTACTGCAGTTTTGGACAAAATGTCATAACCTAAGCTACAAATTTCTGATTGAGCTGATTCTTGAGGCATTGGAAAGATAAGAGAGAGATATACAACTTTCATGTTTAAATATCAATCCAGTTCTATGCAGAAGGCATCCGAAAATGAAGAAAAGTAATCTAAAATTTTGCAGTTACACTTTTACTGCAGTTTTGGAAAAAATGTCATAACTTGAGCTACAAAATCCAAATTAAGCTGATTCTTGAGGCATTGGAAAGCTAAGAGAGAGAGAGATACAATTTTAATGTTTAAATCTCAATGCAATTCTATCCATAAGGCATCCGAAAATGAAGAAAAGTAATCCAAAATTTTGCAGTTACACTTTTACTGCAATTTTGGAAAAAAATGTCATAACTTGAGCTACAAATTTCTGATTGAGCTGATTCTTAAGGCATTGGAAAGCTAAGAGAGAGAGCTACAACTTTTATGTTTAAATCTCAATCCAATTATTTATAGAAGGCATCTGAAAATGAAGAAAAATAACCCAAAATTTTGCAATTCCACTTTTGCAGCTGTGGAGCAGTTGACAGCTTGCTGGTGTTTTGGAAAAAATGTCATAACTTGAGCTACAAATTTTCGATTGAGTTGATTCTTGAGGTATTGGAAAGCTAAGAGAGAGAGCTAAAACTTTCATGTTTAAATGTCAATCCAATTTTGTGCAAAAGGCATCCGAAAATGAAGAAAAGTAATCTAAAATTTTACAGTTACACTTTTGCAGCAGTGGAGCAATTGATAGTTTGTAGTTATTTTGGAAAAAATGTCATAACTTGAGCTACAAAATTCGGATTGAGCTGATTTTTGAGGCATTGGAAAGCTAAGAGAGAGAGATACAACTTTCATGTTTAAGTTTCTATCCAATTCTATGCAGAAGATATCCGAAAATGAAGAAAAGAAATGAAAAATTTTGCAAGAGAATTTACAGACTGTCAAATGACAGATGCATGATTGTAACACAACAAATGACAGAGTAAAACAAAACAAATACATGAATATAGAAAGACATTTACCTAAATGTGCAATTACAGATTAGAGATTGTAAAAAGACAGATGTGTGATTGTAAAATGGCAAATTGGTAACTCAAATAATATTTGAGTGATCACAGTAGAAAATAAGCTGTCTTTTTACAATCACTTATCTGTAATTTTACAATTAGATATCTGTTTTCTTTTCTACTATGATCACTCAAATATTATTTGAGTTACTAATCTGCCATTTTACAATCACACATCTGTCTTTTTACAATCACTAATCTGTAATTGCACACTTGGGTAATTGTCTTTCTATATTCATGTATTTGTTTTGTTTTACTCTGTCATCTGTTGTGTTACAATCATGCATCTGTCATTTGACAGTCTCTAATCTGTCATTTTGCCACATACATTTGTGATTTTACACTTGCCCATCTATCTTTTTTATAATTATGCGCTGTTATTTTACACCCAACAAGCTGTCTTTTTGCAAACACTCATCTGTAATTTTACACTCACATATATTAATTTTACAATCAAATATCTATTTTCTTTTCTGCTATGATCACTCAAATATTATTTGAGTTACCAATATGCCATTTTACAATTACACATCTGTCTTTTTATAATCACTAATCTGTAATTGCACACTTGAGTAAATATCTTTCTATATTAATGTATTTGTTTTGTTTTACCCTACCATTTGTTGTGTTATAATCATGCATCTGTCATTTGACAGTCTGTAAATTCTCCTGCAAAATTTTGTATTACTTTTCTTCATTTTCGGATATTTTCTGCACAGAATTGGATTGATATTTAAACATGAAAGTTGTAGCTCTCTCTCTTAGCTTTCCAATGCCTCAAAAATCAGCTCAATCCGAATTTTGTAGCTCAAGTTATGACATTTTTTCCAAAACAGCTGTAAACTGTCAACTACTCCACAGCTGCAAAAGTGTAACTGCAAAATTTTGGATTACTTTTCTTCATTTTCAGATATCTTCTGCACAGAATTGGATTAAAATTTAAACATGAAAGTTGTAACTCTCTCTCTTAGCTTTCCAATGCTTCAAGGATCAGTTCAATCAGAAATTTGTAACTCAAGTTATGACATTTTTTCCAAAATACTAGCAAGCTGTCAACTGCTCCACAGCTGCAAAAGTGCAACTACAAAATTTTGAATTACTTTTTTTCATTTTTGGATGCCTTCTACAACAAATTAGATTGAGATTTAAACATAAAAGTTGTAACTCTCTCTCTTAGCTTTCCAATGCCTTAAGAATTAGCTCAATCGGAAATTTATAACTCAAGTTATGACATTTTTTTCCAAAACTTCAGTAAAAGTGTAACTACAAAAATTTGGATTACTTTTCTTCACTTTTGAATGCCTTTTGGACAGAATTGGATTGAGATTTAAACATTAAAGTTGTATCTCTCTCTCTTAAAATTTCAATGCCTCAAGAATCACCTTAATCCGGATTTTGTAGCTCAAGTTATGACATTTTTTCCAAAATTGCAGTAAAAGTGTAACTGCAAAATTTTGGATTAATTTTCTTCATTTTCGGATGCCTTTTGCACAGAATTAGATTGAAATTTAAATATTAAAGTTATAGCTCTCTCTCTTAGCTTTCCAATGCATCAAGAATCAGCTTAATCCAGATTTTGTAACTTAAGTTATGACATTTTTTCCAAAACTGCAGTAAAAAGTGTAACTGCAAAATTTTGGATTATTTTTCTTCATTTTCGGATGCCTTATGCATAGAATTGGATTGAGATTTAAACATGAACATTGTAGCTCTCTCTCTCTTATATTTCCAATGCTTCAAGAATCAGTTCAATCAGAAATTTGTAGCTCAAGTTATGACATTTTGTCCAAAACTGCAGTAAAAGTGTAGTTGCAAAATTTTGGATTACTTTTCTTCATTTTTGGATGTCTTCTGCACATAATTGGATTGAGATTTAAACATGAAAGTTGTAGCTCTCTCTCTCTTAGCTTTCCAATGCCTCAAGAATCAGCTCAATCCGAATTTTGTATCTCAAGTTATGACATTTTTTCCAAAACTGTAGTAAGTTATCAACTGCTGCTATTGCTCTTAGCAACACCAGTTTCGGTAAAATGTTCATATCTCAAGCTAGAAAACTCGAATTTGGGCAATTCAAAATTATTTGGAAAGCTAAAAAAAGTAACTACAACTTTCATGTTTTGACTTTTTTCTAATGATGCCCATAACACACCCAAAATTAAAGAAATATAAGCTGATATCTATAGGCACAACAGATTTTTGCATTAATCCGTTTTATTACAATTTGGTATCTGTTAGTGTACAATCACTGACTGTTATACCCAGAACACATTTGAAAT